TGAATAAAAAGAAGAGGAGGAGGAAGGTACCGATCAAATACCGAGCATATTCATTCCGGGTTGGGTCGTCGGGCCGCGCGGTAAAGAGTAAGAGCACGTGGCGATATATTATAGGCTACCTGATGTATCTCTACGTCAGGTAACCTGAGGCAATAAAAATTCCTGTTTCACACTCTTCATCTCTACGTCATGCTTTTTTAAAAAATCAAAATTGACTTTCTCGCTCCTCCTTTGATTCTCCCACAGTTTGGGAAAAATGAATTTGAGAGGTTAGTCGGTTTGATTGAATCAACACCATCCTAATTTACTTTTCTTTAGGTATTTATGGTTATTAGGGCTCATGAGATTGCTTAAAGTTAAAAAAATATAATTTAAAATTGGCGAACTTACTATGCATTATCCTTTACTTTGTTGTAGTTAGATTTTTTATAAATACATGATATTCTCCCTTTAGATTTCATTTTCAAACTACAAATAAAAAAAATAAAAAATATTTATTTTTTAAACATACATTTAGGCTTCGTTTGAAACGACTTGTCTGCTTCTTTTTAAAGCAGCTTTCTTTAGTTTTTATACTAAAAAATTATTTTAAGAAGCAATATAAAAATTATCTCAAATGAAACTTTAATCTTAACAAACACATAAGCCATTTGCTAGGTTATTATAAATTGCTCCATAATTTCTATGCAAATGAATGAAGGTTTGATGCCTGCTTTTTGCCGAGATAGCACCATACCTCACTAGAAGGTCTCAACACTTCCTATCATTGATAATATATGTTATTGGCTTCGTGTTGAACTTTGCCATAAAATAAAAATAAAAATAAAAATCTAATTTTTTAAATCTCATCATTTGTAATGGCGCCATGGAATATTTCTTATAATATTCAATTTTTATTTGATACGTGATCTTAAAAGATGTAACACCAAAGTATTAAATTTTGAAGAATTATCTATTTATCATTGTAAGAATATACCATAACTTCTTTAAATCAATATAAATAATAATCAACGAAAGCAGCTATACATCAAGATATTTTATTATTTATTCATCTAAAATATCATTTGCACTAGCCAAGAGGTCACTCTACTAAAGAATAAATGAAAATACATAACAAAATTTAAAGAAAACCTACGAATCTATGACAATTTCACTTTAACTGGTCCTAACTCATTCACTGACCTGAAATCATTAAAAAACCATACAATAATTAAAAGCTTAGTAAAGCTTTCAATGCAAGGACTAATGAATTCAGGGATAGTGGTCAAATGATGATAATTGAACAATGATAGTCATATAATGACAGTCGGATGACAATCATCAGTGGTCAGATGATGGTATGATGGTTGGGCAATAGCAATAAATTGAAAAAGGTCAGTGATCAAATGATGACAATCGAGAGATGGAGGTAAAATTTTTTTTTTTCTCGGATGGAAAACATTGATGGTAGGATGATGACAGTTCGATGACAATTTGACGACAATAGTCAAAAATGGCTATTGGATAATGATAAGTAGGCGATGATGGTGGTTATCATTTATCCTCAATATTAAATATTAAGTAGAGCTCAAAATTTGTTTAGATCTCCAAGCTTCCTTCCAACTCAAGTCCATGCCCCAATTGAAAGTTTATAAGATAAACATGTTATGAGGATTTTTTTAATCAAATTGAATTTTTTTCAAGGCATGTCAATTATAATGGATAATAGGACAATAGATTGATGAGAAAAGTTTTAAGCCCTTGTAAGCATTGGGGGTTAGTGTAGCAATCACTAACATACTCGTAGGACTGGTAGCAAAGACTTAGGATTTATTTGTGATCACTTTCTTACTATTTTTTTTTACCGTAGCTTATAGTACAAAAAATTTATTGAAAGTGGCAAAAAAGTAGTGATCGTAAGCTATCCCAAGCAAAGCCTTAATGGTGGGAAGGTTTATGCGGTGTCTCGTTGAAAAGTTTACTAAGAGGTTGTTTGGTTGACTGCAAAATGATTGTAAAGTATTTCAAATACATGGGTTTTAAAAATATTAGTGTTTAATTTGAAGTAAAACAAATGTTGTGTAAAATTTTGATTCATTTGGAATGCATCATCTAGTTTATCTTTGATATATTTAAAATTCCTCTAATTTAGACAAGTTCCAAATACATTGAAATATTATTGCAACTGCCGCCACCCGCCGCCGCCATGGGATGGCCCTTAACCACCGCCATTACCAACCACCACCACCATCCATCACCGCCGCCATATACCTCCTCGGTCACCATCGCTACTGGCCACCCATCATCGCTGATTACCAACCACCTCTGCCCACCAATTGCCGCCAATGCCGGCCACCAACCACAACTTGTTTATGTTTTAATTTGCATTCATTTTATTTAAAAAAAAAATCATGCACTCATTTTACAATCATTCCAATAACTCTAAAATATTCATTTTACACTAAATTCATTTTAAACTACATTTTTATTTTGAGGTAATCAAACAAACCACAAATGACAAGAGAACACTTACACTAATGAAAAGGTTAGTGACTAGCTATGAATTAACAATGGGACAACTACAAAAGTTCTCCAGCAATTGGGGCAATTACAAGTGCGCACAATGAAATAGAAAACGAATAGAATTGGACAGATTGCTTCATTCTCAATCAAATACGATCCAACTCATTGAAGAACGATTCATCTTTTGATGAATGTTTCGTATCATCCAAACAAAGTACTAATTCAAAATCTTCCTTCACAAAATTTTTTTGCAGTAAATACCAATGCCAAATAGCCTCATAAATTATTTGATCTGAAAAACCCCCTTAATCAAATTATTTTCTAAAGTTACTGAAATTGATCATTCAAATTTGCGCTAGAATGTAGTGATTTGGGCTAATCAATTGACATGCCGAATCCGGATATTAAATTAGTACCCGAGAATTTTAGATATAGTTTTTTATTCGGACTTCAATCATATGAAGACACATGAATTTTTTTCTCTTGTACACATCACATGAACAAAAAATAGAGGAAAAATATTCATTTATCTTTACGTGATTAGAGTTTGGTTGAAGTCCGGACTCGGCATGCAATAACTTTTCACATCTAAGGGCTTCGTTTAAGGCAGTTTTAGATCACAATTTTTTTCCTATTTTCATGAGAGTTTTGTACTAAAAAGTAGCTTTACAAAACAGTAAAAAAGACATCCCAAATGAAGCCTAAGGTCATCTCCAACTAAACGCCAAACGATCATTTGCAGTCATCGCGAGCTCCAACTGAAAGCCAAATTCAGCAGTATTTTGCGCCATGTGTCGCACTGCTCTCGAATGCCTTTTTTTAGTCATTTTGTTTGGTTGGAGAAAGGATATACCTTATATAATATAAAATTGATATATCATAAAAAATTTATCTTGATCAGACACAAATCTTGAGGCAAATTTGAGTTGTAAACTTCCAAAATTAAATTTAGGAGAGTTTGAACATCGATTTCAGCAAACTTGTAGTTGAACTTAACGTATCAAAAATACGAACCCGATGACACTAAATTCGACTCAATCCGAGCACGAATGGATCCATTTTGAAGGTTCAAACCATAAATTGGATGTCCAAATGATCACTAAAGGTGACATGCTTATAGTCAAATTGAGCGGCTCGACTAGACGAATCCAACGAGCCTACGATTGCTGAATCATTAAGACAAATACTTGCTAAATGGTCTATAATCAAGGGTGTTGATATCGGCCGTTCATTGGAAATACTCCCAACTTGTCTTTGATCTTCTACCTAGTTACTGACCATGTAATTCTCAAAAAATTATAAATATCACATCATTCTTCTTATGAAGGGGAACCAAGCAAGGAGGAAGCAAGGGGAGAAAGGGAGGAGAAGAGGGAGAAGGAAGAGACATTTGAGATCTCTCTTGCCACCAAGCTCCTCCTCTTCCACCGCCCGATCATCGACCTTCGCTGAACTTTCATTTGACTTCTGCCCAACCACCAACTAATGTCAAACTTATGTCTGTCCACCAAATTTCATCAGATGCCCTCTCAGACACTGACCATCACTAGACTATATTCTAACCACCGTCATCCACCGACTACGGTCTCTTCGACCATCATCTCATGATTATAATCCTTCTAATAATCATTGCCCGAATACGATATTTCTGTCCTCCGTCCGTCGACTACGATCTTTCTGACTTTCATTGCCCTTCTACTATGATCTTTTCGACCTCTGTCACCCACCGACTACGATCCTTTCGACCCTTGTCATATTGCTATAGTC